AAACATATTTTTCAATGAATATTTTTACTTCTGTCTCCTTTCGTATGCTTTTTTTTTTTTTTTTTCCTTTCTCGGAATGTCTGTGTGATCTCTGTGAAGAAAACTGCTCTGAGTCTGTTCGTTCTTAGCGGAGGAAACTGTGAACAGAGCAGAACTTTGCCTTGAAGTGGCCAAAGGACAAGCATGGCTTTAAGTTTATACAGTAATACCTGTAAGTTGCGCTGCCGGCCAGAGGGGTATAATGGGGGGTGGGGATGTATAAAATTATATATAAATATAATTTATTAAAGAGATATATCTATGATTAAAATGCAGTGTTGAACATTTGTTCAACAGCAGCACAAAGAATATATGTGAGCAGAAAAGATGCACTTTGCATTTCTTTACAAGAGAATTTGCCTTAGTAAATGGTAATGCCTTTAGAGGTGGAGGTAAAGAAATGGATTCAGACTCATCTTGCACATACACATTCGTACATCTGCCCTGTCCAGAAATACGGTGCCTTTTCGTACATGTTCTTCACTCCCAACAGAGTCTAGTTTATATAGCTGCAGCGTTAACTCCGTTCTCTAGCGGTGCACTCTCATAGCCCTATCCGCCCATTCAGCCGGATGCTGCTCAACCAGAAGACCATAAAAGAGACTGAACATTTCTTCAACTGGAATGAGCAGGTGACCAGATCTGCTTGTCATCTCACTGGAATGAAGGGGCTGCTAACCAAAAGCATTCGGTCATGGCTGGAAGTGCTTTAGCTTACTTGGACAATGAAGGATACGAGCACCATCATAACTTCCTCTTGCTTCAAGAGGATGTAAAAGTGCAATGGAGTTTCAGGAAGAGGTTCAGTGAATGCTGTTTCTGTGATGAGCATTTATTTCCATGTTCTCAGTGGTCCAAATTTGGACTGAAAAGGGAAAACCGAATGCTGTTCTGTGCACTGATTTTCATGAATACCCAGAGGTTTTTGTGAGATTTTTATTTTCTTGTCTTCTACAAGCACGTACATTTTGCCATTCCACGTTTCTCGTATGCAGCCTGCCACATTACAGTATCTTGCCTTACTGGTGGACACAACTGGTGCTACAGTGCTACATATCCCTGAGTTAGGACAGAATTTTATTTTGCTGTTGTGTACGAGGAGACCCACTGCTGAAGAACCTCAGCCATCAAGTGCACTTTATATGTCCAGAGACCTTGTAACACAGGACACCACACTGCAGACATGGACATCATTTTTTATTTTTTTAATGTCCTTATTTTTACCTCTGGAAGAAAGAAAAAAAAGTAAAATCCTTCACACTATGAGCAGTGGTCCCTCAAAGTCTGATATTGAAAAATTCCTGTAAACTCCGTAAGTGCATGGATGTGTCCCTCATACAGTCCTTGGAGAAAAACCTTTTGCTGTTGTCGGCCATCAGAAATTGAACCCATAAATCGAGGTGGGAGAGTGCTAGACTGCAATAAAGCATCGGACGTGTTTTTAGCCATGCTCCAGGCTTGAGTACAGCTGTCTGTAGTGATGGAAGAGTGCCGCTCAGGTCAAGGTAGCGCTGGCTTAGGGGCTTAGTACCTGTTTGTGTAGTGGACAAAAAACCCATTGCATGTGGTCATATATATATATTACAACTGCTGTCCGTGAATCCTGAAAAAAAAAATCTTAAAAAAAAAAAAGAAATTGTGTACATTTTTTGAATAGTCAATTATTTGAAAACTGAGGTCTATCATGAAATAAATATTTCTTTTTTGTCTATTTGTGGTGTCGTCCTCTGTTATGATACTCCAACAGTACATTCTCCGATGTATTTGTTTAGAATCACCACTAGGGGGAGGCAAGTTACTTGCTTTTTCATGACATAAAATGCACATTGATTTTGAGATAAATATTTCTCACTTATCCTGTGAAACAATCAGACTGGTCCTACACACTTGGTTACAGTTGTGCATAAACTTTTTTCCAATATTATGGCTTGGATTTAAGGACGTGTGACTATCTGTGCGTGATCTCACATCTATTCTGCTCATAACGATCAATTCCACCATAATAAATCTGTTGACCAACTAGATGAACGCAGCACCTATTGACAGAGGGAGGAAGAAACATGGCATTTCTTCGTCTTAGTTCCGTAAGAATAAAAGATCTACAAAGAACCAATCTTCATGTGATTAGTCTTATGCGAGCATGATCATTAGCACTGGCACATCCAGTTAAAGGAGATCTCCTTGAGAACAGCTTGTGTTACGCCCAACTAGCTTTCTTTTTCCTAATGACCTCAGTGAATACAGTTAGGCTGAGGTTTATCAGATGATTTATCAGCTGTTTTCCAGACATGCGATTTTCTTGACACTGTTGTCTTTATTAAAGTGCCCACGGAGAATTTTAATGTTGAAATGACTAAAGATCTATCCATTTTTCTGAGGTTTAAAAATCATAAAATAGAAAAAAGAAAAAAATAGGCTCATGTCAATGGGGATTCTGGGTTCTGTGAATTAAACCTGTATATAACTAATAGGTATCTACTAACCAGTACCATGGTTTAATCTGTTACCAACACTGTACCGTGTTTCCACAGTATTTTGTTGTTAATGTTAGAATATATCCATTATTCAGTGTGGGATCCGGCATACTTAGTAATATCATGGGATCAAGGATTTTGTATTTAATCCTTTATTCAATTTAAACTTTCAGAATGTCATTACGACCTCAGGGGGTAGTGTTGACTATCAAGCTGGTCCACAGTTTATAAAGAAAGCTGTGCAAAATGATTTATTCCGTTTTCGGCGCTGCTATTTTGCGCACTAATGTCTCTTTACATTTTAGTGTAGAGTTTATTTTTTTAATATCAATCTATTTTTATCACAGTGCTCGGTCTCCCAATCGTTTTCGCAGCATATCCTCGTGCGTCCCATGTTTAGGGATTGACGCTGCATCGTCACTGAGCTCATCTCAAGCTGCTGCTGCTGTTCTCACACTCATGGACCATCACATCCAGACAGGTACTGTGGAGTGCTGTACCCCTCTGAAACCGCGTATACGCCACGCTTGTGTTTGTCGGGTAAGTCTTTAAAATGCTTATTTGCGCCATGATGAACGGAGTGTTGATGTGAACTGAGGGAAGTCTCGGATGTTTCGGGTTGCTATTTTGACTTGCTTTTTTTGGTTTAATGTGTTTTTGCGCATTATTTTCTGATCGTTCGTCTCCAGTGATACCGCTTTTAAAAGGTTCGCTTTCAACGTAAATGTAGGGGGTAATTTTGCGCGAGATCTTTTACAGGTAATCGCTTTATTCAACCGATTTTCACAATACTAATACATACATTTAAAAAATCAGTGGCGGTGTTTTAAAATCTACTTAAGGGACACCCACAGAGGACTCGTTCTGTTTGTTACTATTTTTTATAATTATTTTCAATATAGGCTACACACGCGTCTCACCGTCGCCTCTCGCGTCATAAGCGTGGCGTTTAATGTAGTTCAACTTTCAAAAACGAGTCTCGAGACTCACGCGGTCAGTTCCACTCGGTTACTCTGTAAGTAGCCTATGTCTAGATCAGGGGTGTCAAACATACGGCCGTATACGGCCCACTGAGACGTCCAATACGGCCCACGGGATGATTTGAAAAATAATATAAAATAAATATTTTTATTATTATTACTAAACAATATTGTGTTTGGTTTTATTCTCTTTTTTATTTTATTTTATCGTTGATCATTTAATTGCGCTTCTATTGCGTTTCTGCCGGTTCGCTGGTTGAGCAGGGGAGCCGTGCTCAAACGTTTCTTTGAAAGGTTCATGTTCAGTACTCCATTAATTTTTACTGATGCAAAGGAGTTCAATAAGTCCTGTTGCTCTCTAATGCTGAAATAAGTTCTCTTCACCGTGACTTCTAATTCAAACAGTGCAGGAGAAATGATTAGAACAGCTCTCAGATTGACAATAGACAACCCCCACCCTGCCTAAGGCTTTACTTCAAGCTATAATAACAATCAAGGGGAAACATGCCTTATGAGGTGCGAAAATACTGACGTTTTATATTATACACCATGGCTATGCTGTATGCCACAGTAAAAACTGTCCAAATGAATAGCCAGGCAGGTGATTCAATAGACGTTGCATGCTGAATATGTTGCATGCAATGTAAGGCATTATTATGAAGTCTTATTTAATATCTTACGCACACCACCATGCCCATGGCAGTTTCCATCTGGCTTTGGAGATCTGCCGTTCTGGGTAACAATCTGTGTGCATTTGTGCTCCCCCACAACGAAGGGGACATCTATTTCCTGTTCTGCAGCTTGACGCTGAATTGAGTTGGGATGTCATTCAGGGCTCTAGACTGCACCTACTCTAGAATGGACCTAATTGTCATAAATGTGACAATAATTAAATCTAGTCGCTAATAGCGAAAGACTGGAGAACTTTGCATGCATCCATGAGCGGTTTTGTCAGATAACATATCATCACATGCATGGCAGTTATCTACAAACAGCAATGTACACAGCGTGAGCCGTGATGTCCAATTAGCAAAGAAATTACTCTTATGCGCCGTTTTGGGGGGGGGAAAAAAATCTCAGCTTTGCTTGTGTGTTAGCAGTGTGAATTATTCAATCAGCATTACTGTGATATAGGCCTGCCTATCTATCTATCTATCTATAAACACACAACTATCTATCTAATTGGACATATTGATTAGATAGATAGATGACTACCTATAAACACACAAC